GAGGCACTGGGTTCAATCCCCAGCACCACATAAAAACAAAATAAAGGTACTGTGCCCGTCTACAACTAAAAATATTAAAATATAAGTGAATGGAACTCAGCCCATGGTTGTCTTTTGAGGAATTCACAATTCCTGGATCTTAATCAAAGAGACTGTCAATCACACGAAACACAGAAATCCCTCAGTTCTTTTTCTTTGCTCCTGCGACAAAGAGGGGGTCTTTTGCCTGGTGGCTCAAGAGGTAAAATAAAGTGACAAATAACGAAAGCAACTATTAAGTACTAAGAGTACTCTGGAAAAGAAAGAGAAGCAGACAGGAGAGGAGAGCCAAGCGCCAAGGTAGAGTGCCCACCAGAGGGCACAGCCCTGGGCTCCACCCAGCCCAACAAAGAGGGTGCAACTCGAGCACCCTGGGTAAGCGGTCCAGGTCAGGGAAACAGTGCCCACCGACTAGTGCAGTTTTTTAAATGAATTTGGGCAAAATGGATCAGGTGCTTCAGAGGAAGGAGACCATACCATTGCACTCTTCCTGACTGCGTTTTACCTCCCTCTCGGGAAAGGAAGAAAAAATATAAAATGCCTACGAGAGAGACTGCAGGGGACGGCAGAGCTGCGGGGTGAGAGCAGACAAATGTGTGAGCGACTCGGGCGCAGCGAGGTTCATCAACTCCTCCTCCTCTTTGCCAGGAGGTGGCAAGAAGCATGAAGACACCTAAATAAATCCAGGTGCTTGACAAGAGTTTGCAGTTTGTCACTCCACGCCTCCAAGGCAGCACCGTCACTGGAATCTAATGTCTTCTCAATGTTAATTGTTATTGTACCTTTTTACAGAATTATGTTTACTCGGGAAACAAATCCATGATTAACTAAAGCATCACCTTAGAAAGAACTAATTGTAATGATCAAAAGGCTTCAAAAGTCACTAAAATATACTTAATCACATATAAAATTCTTTAATTTTTCAATCAAGCCTAAGAATAGACCAAAGGAACCTGGTTCCTGCTACCCTGGTCTGGTGATAATATTACAAGCATTTGGGCTGGGGCCGTGGCTCAGTGGCAGAGCGCTTGCCTAGCACAAGTGAGGTACTGGGTTCGATCCTTAGCACCACATACAAAAATAAAGGCATGCTGTCCATCTACAACTACAAATTTCCTTTTTAATTGCAAGCTTTTTGTATGGGTCATTCCTACTTCCATTAATCATTCAACCACCGTGTCATTACTGTGAACCACGTTTCTGACACAGCTCACACATGCTGCACAACCAACCCACAATATGTGAACACTTAAACTTTTAAAAATGGTTTAGAAGATACTCTCCAGTTACCTTATACAATAAGCATGGGAAACAATATTCTCTGGGTTCTATTCTTAGGGGGTAGCAATAGCAATAAAATATCTCCATATTAATTTGTCTTTCTTATGGGGAAAATACATAAGATGAGAATGTAGCAGACTTCTCACTTGAAAAAGTAAGAAAAGTAATGAATAGCATCTAGTGGATGCCGTCTCTGCCCCAGTGAAACTCTCCCTTCTCCTGCCTCCCAGCGTCACCTGGCCTCCTGCTCCACCCTGCCTCCTCGCCTCCTGCCACAGCTCAGGAAGAAAGGTACCCAGCCATCACTTCTTTGCAGTTTTAAATCTGTTCAATTCATTGATGCCTGCCCTGCCTCAAGACTACAACTGCTTAGCGACATCTTCATCTGTGGAGAAAATAAAATGGATAAACCCACACAACAGTCAGACTGCCTGGGTTAAAATCCCACCTCCACCGTGTATAAACTGAACAGCCTTAAAGAACTTCATCTGTCAGACAGCTGTTACTTCATCCCTAAAGCAACACTAGAAATGGAGTCTACCACTCCGAGGAGCTGCAAGAATTATGCTACATAATACACAACTCATGAAAGTGCAAGGAACGGCGCCTGCAACGCACAGGAAAACGCAAGAAGAGCCAAGCACAGTCATGACCTGTTAATATATTCCACTTGATTACAAAGAGCTCGTTCCAAACCAAAACAAGCCCTCCCTCAGCTGATCGGCCTTTCTGAAATTCCTTACTGCACTGTAGCCACAGACCTTGGAGTCACCTTCAACTTGAGAAGTGTAAGAAATCTTTCCTCCTCCTCCCTCCAATTCCCCTCAGATCCTGGACTACGACAGCCCAGGCCTAACAGGACTGATCTACCCTATTCCTTACACCCAAGCATCCCTCACATTGTTTCTAGAAACAATCCTGAGACCAAGGGAGCAAACACAGAATCACAAAAAAAAATAATAGTAAGTTAATCATTAACAATAGTAGGAATATTTAAAATACTATCCAGATAAAGGTCAAAAGAAGGAATGTTTCTTTTTAAATAATACTGAAGCAATTCAGTATCTACTACAATGGAGGATATCTAAAAGATGCACAAGAGCAATACTTTAAAATTTTTAAATCCTTAGAAAGTCAGAGTAGACCTAACTATAGACATGTCCACATAGCAATGTCCCCATGAGATGATAGCACCTGATAACACCTTAGCCAAGCAATGTAAGTACACTCTAGGATGATCCCGCAAAGATGCAGTGACCTAACCACACAGTTCTGAGACCTGTCATCATTAAGTGACCAGGAACTGTACCTCCTTATGGAGGGGAAAACACAAAATTGAAGGTTCAAATCTTCAAGTCATCTAAAACTTCAGTGTCTTCACAATTAAAATCCCAATGGCATTCCCTGTTGAACTTAAAAACCAATATTAAGTTTATTGGAAGGAAAGAGCAGGGAAGAGATAAGACACATAAGGGCACTAGCAATACCAAATACCTAGAGCTCATACAGATTCCTACCACTTAGGACTGTAAGAACAAGAACCTGAATAAAGTAGTCAGTCAATGAAACAAAACAGCCCAGGGACAGACCCACACAACTACAGACACTCAACTCGTCAGAGCGGGTAATACATGAGTAAAAGGCAAAAGCGTTAATTTACAAAACTGACACTGGAGCCCCTGTATCGAAAAAGAAAAAAATGAAACTGGACCACTTCCCAGGACCACCCCAGAAAAAAACAATTCCAGACAGAGTACAGATCTCAATGTGGGTTAAAATCATGAACCTTTTTTAAGAAGAAAATACAGGAGAATGTCTTAGCAGCTTCATGGTAAGGACTTGTTAAGAACACAGACCAAAAGAACGAACAAATTTTAAACCAGCATTGCTTCTCGTCAAATGAAATCTGATGAGAGTGAAAAGCACCACTGGAAACATCTCGGGACTCAGGATGCTGGATGATGTATTTTTGCCACAAAATAAAAAGAAAAAACTCACAGAAAAATGGACAAAATACCTACAAAGCCATTTCACAAAAAAGGGAAGACGCAAATGGCCAACACACAAAAATGCCCGAGCTCATTGCTGATAATGAAAATGCAAATTAAAACCACACTGAGAGACCATCCTCGTCAGATTTGCAAACCTTTCGAAACCCGACTGTGTCATCATTAGCAAGAACAGAGAACACCAAACATACACATCCATCACGGTGACCCCACCGTTCAAGGACTCGGCGCACTGCCTAGAGCAACTCTTGTGCAGATGCAATGTTTCAACGGCAGCAGTGTTCACGAAAGCGGAATAGCAGGCCAGAGCAGTGGCACCTGCATGCAATCCCAGTGACTCAGGAGGCTGAGGCAGGAGGATCATACAGTTTGAGGTCAGCCTCAGCAAGACCCTATCTCAAAAAAAAAAAAAAAGAAAACTGGGGCTGTAGCTCAGAAGTAGAAAGCTCCTGGGTTCCCGGGTTCGATCCCCAGTACCAAAGAAGGGACAAGGGACAAGGGAGGGGAGGAGAGGAAAGCAAACACCAGGGAAAATGAAAACCAGGTCAACGGTACAATGGAGAAACGAACAGTGGCAAACTCATTCAAGGAAATGCTGTTAACAGCCCGAGCCATTTTACACCCACCAAACGGATAAACCACAAAGTACAATGTGAGGAAAAGAAGCAAGTCTCAGAACAGTGTCCATGGAATCAAGTTCAAGACGGGATCCACAGTGAGGTTAGCGGTACGCTGGGAAGTCGACCGAAGGCCATGACTCAGAACGCAGGAGAAGGACGACTCTCGGGGTGTTACTCAAAGAGGGACACAGGGCAGTTTCTATGGTTCTGAAATGATAATTCTCATGCTGGCTGGTTTCTACCCGGGTGGTACGTGTTATTTTAAGCTGTGTCCGTGTAATAGATTTCCTAGTAAAACCAGCGGGGGGAGAGCGAGTAGCAGGGCAAAGCTAAGAAGCAGAGAACCTGAGGAGGCCTGAGCAGAAGGCAGGGTGGACAGCACAACAGGCCCCGGTGGACTTGGGGGTGGTTTAAACCCTGATGAAAGGCGCCAGTGGGTTGGAGAGGCTCAAGTAGAGAAGAGGTATCCGAGGAGGTGGGTGGGATGAAGACAGAGCGCCCCTGCCACGTTCCTGAGGGAATGGCACAGACAGGGCCTCTGCACCCATCTGCCCCACGCCCTGCCACTCCCTGGGAGGAGCAGGGCTGGTGGACAGGGCCTAGGAGAGGAGCAGGAGCCGGACCTGGCGACTCCACACAATCCCTAGGTTCCAAGAGGACCACAGGACCCACAGCCATGCACTTCCACCACCTGCTGGGTAACTCCGCAAACACCCACGTCACATCAGAAAGGTCCCCACTACAGCTTCAGTCTTCAAATTCAAAACAGTGAAATCGTACAAGCCCAACTCGGACGCTGACACCGTCTCGTCATTTATATTGATGCCCGGAAACTTTTAAAGGCCAGTTAATCAAGGAAAGAGTTAAAATCAGTTATTAAAAATAGGAAAATCAGGGCTGTGGATGTAGCTCAGGGTTACAACACCTGCCTAGCATGTGAGAGGCACTGGGTTTGATTCTCAATACCACATATAAAGCAAAGATTCAATGACAGCTAAAAAATATTTAAAACACACACACACACAGGTAAAACAGAACAAGTTCCACCTACTTAATGGAGTTTCTAAAGTGGTCTTCGGCTGGGTTCTTCACAGTGCAACTGTTCAGGAGCCACAGATCTGCATCTGACGCATTTTCTAGGTTTAGAAAACAAGCACAAAAGAAAAATTAAGTATCACTTTTAATCAAAAACACCCAAGTGTTCACCCGGTGGCATGGGACTGCTGGGGAGGGAAGAAGGTAGGAGGAGGGTGGGCGGCCATGGGGAGCAGTGGACCTGAAGGTGTGCTCTGTGCGGCCCCGCGGCGTGTCAGCATAACAAGCACAGCAGTCCCCTCCCCGTCCCCACCAGAGCTCCATTCCACAACTTCCCACCCAAAGCGAAACGGGCCCAATCTGATCCCTGAACACAAAATTATAGTTTTCAGTGGCCCACGCCTGTAATCCTAGCGGCTCAGGAGGCTGAGGCAGGAGGATCATGAGTCCAAAGCCAGCTTCAGCAACTTAGCCAGGGCTAAGCAACTCTGTGAGACCCTGTCTCTAAATACCAAAAAGAGACTAGGAATGTGGCTTAGTGGTTAAGTGCTCCCCAGTTCAATCCATGGTACCAAGACAAAATTTAGTTGTCATTTATTTATAATTTCAACATTTTTCAGGCACAGGTATCAGCATACACTGTGTATTCTGTTGCTGGAGAAGTTATTAAAAGTATAACTTGTCTGCCTTGAAAATTAACGTCACCTCAAAATGAATCTTTCATTACTATCACCAATTTGATTAAATATAGTTACACACTATATATGGGGGTGTGCATACATGTATATAAATCATTGTTATAATACTGTCACTGGCAACACAAGAAATAATCCAAACTCATGCTTATTTAAAGTGAATTTTTGGGCTAGGGTTGTGGCTCAGTAGCAGAGCGCTTGCCTAGCATGTGTGAGGCCCTGGGTTGGATCCCCTTGCCTAGCATGTGTGAGGCCCTGGGTTGGATCCCCTTGCCTAGCATGTGTGAGGCCCTGGGTTGGATCCCCAGCACCACATAAAAAAAGTAAACAAAAAAAGGTATTGTGTCCACGTACAACTAAAAAAAAATTTAAGTGCATTTACAAATACCTACAACTTTGTTCCTATTCTACCTTTAGTTTAGATATTTTTGTTTCCCAACAGGACTTTAGACATTACAGGAGAATGACTTAAAGGAAGGAAAACGAAAACCGAGCCCCAGAGCGCTTCAACAGCACTGCAGTAAGACCCCCAGGACAGACAGGTGTCCCCGTGCACTCCTTCCCAGAAAGGCAGGTTTGAGCAAAGGCTGCAACTTAGTAAGAACTTCTTTCCCCTCAATTTTAAAAAATGATAGTTTTTTTTTTTTTTAATAAAGAGGCAAGATCAAAAAATTCTTGAAATAACAAAAAGCAAGGCGAAGGCACTATTACTCGGTCAACCATGAGAATTCTCCATCTCCTCTCACCCCTTCCCCTCACCCCCCCACCACCACCCTATGGTCTGTTTTGTCACCAATTAGCTTTCTCTGAGACAAATCTGATGTCACTTCCCGGCTCAGATAAAGAAGAGTATTCGCCAATGTCCTCTTAGGTCCCTCAGTTCTCCCCTCAAGGCCACCTGAAGGTCCTTCCTCTAACACCAGTTTGACCCCGGCCCGTCTTCCCAGCTCTAGCCACCTGCTGTCCCCACTCAATATGCATTTCTCCCCGCTGCCCCGTCCAGCCAGGGCCCTCGGCCCAGCCTACAGTCTCAGCTGCAGGCTCATCGGCTGCCTCGGCTCCGCACCCCCATCACTGACCTGCAGAGAATATACTTCCACTTTAAAATTCTGTACTAAGATCATCCACCTGTCCAGGCTGTCTTCGTGGTCTTAGGTACTGAAGGCTGTATTTTAATCTGCTGTTCTCTCAATGTCCAAATCCCAATGCTGAGATGGGTACACACCAGACACTCAAATGGCCATGGAAGACCCGAGGTGCACGTAGGTAGGGGATGCGACAGGGAACGGTGGAATGCTGTGGGCCACTGCACAGGGCACCTCCACCAACTCCCACCAGCTTCCCAATGCTCTGGAGGCCAACGTGGCCTTCTGAAATAACTTCCAAGAAGTGTGATGTACTTAAATGTCTACTACGGGACTTCTCCCTTGTTCACAGCTAGATCCCCACCACTTACGTCAGTGCCTGGAACAGGGCAGTCGCTTATTAAATATTTTACTGAATAAATGTTGGATTTAAAACACATCACTACTATGAGCAATGCACTACAGACAAGAAAAGCTCATGGATACCTGTTAACTGATGATTGAAAACATGTAGCAACTCCACATTTAAAAAAAAAAAAAAAGCCACACTAACGACAGAACTGTACCAGATGCCAGCTTGCCTCCTGGTCCATCCGTCCATCCAATTACCTTCAAATTATTAGAAAACTCATGCCACAGGCACTCAAGGAAAACTCCAGCAATAAATAAGAGAAATTAGCCTACTTTGGAATTTTGCCAATGGTGGCTTTCGAAATAAAGATCATCAATATTATGCTTGATGGTCCAGTAATTGCAATCAACAAGAACCCTGTGAATATACCCAATGCAGACAAAATTACCTACACTTTTAGAGCCCCCCGCCCAAGAGAGAATAAGCCTTCTCCAATGAACACAGGAAATTCCTAATTGTTTCTCACTCAATCTGGAGTTAGTACTGAATATTGTCACAAAGCGGCTCTACTGAAAGGCTTCAATCAGTCACACCGCAGCCAGCACACACTAAGGATCTCCCAGGAGCAGGCTCCAGACTAGCTACCGGGAACGTGGCTGCGAAGAGACCCTCCTCACAGTCTTGATGTCTGACACATGAAACATTAAAATTTAAATTAAGTCGGGCATGGCAGTGCATGCCTTCAAGAGCTCGGGAGGCTGAGGCAGGAAGATCGTGAGTTCAAAGCCAGCTTCAGCAGAAGTGAGGCACTAAGCAACTCAGTGAGACCCTGTCTCTAAATAAAATACAAAATAGGGCTGGGAAGGTGGCTCAGTGGTTGAGTGCCCCCAAGTTCAATCCCTGGTACTCAAAAAAAAAAAAAAAAGCTTAATAACAAAAAGCAAAGAAATAAACAGAATCATTTGAAATGCCAACCCATGATGATGATTAAGAAGGGTAGCAGAGAAAACCAGGGGTGCTGACTCGAAGAGCCCTCCCTCCGGGGTGGAAATGATGGGAAGGAATCTGCCATGCAAAGACGAGAAGGAAGAGCACACCACAGCGCAGAGGCCCTGAATCAGCACCACGTTCACCATGTCCTAGGAAGAGGGAAAAGACTGGTGTGTGCGGATGCCTGGAGAGTAGGGAAGAAAGGTCAGAGGCAGGCAAGGCCCAGAGTCTGTTGAAAAAGAATAAAATCCTAAGTTGTTCAAAGTGTAACAGAAAGTCACCACTGGATTTCCAACAAGAGCCAAGTTCTACGTCAGGAAGAACACTCTGGCTGCACTGTGAAGACTGTAGATGAACAGTAAAGGCAGTGGGGGAAAGAAAGTAAAGGCAGTAAGACACCTAAAAGCTGTTCCTAGGAGTACATGAAACACCATGGTAACTGGGACCACAGCTATGGCAAGAGAGAAGCAAGTGGGGGAGGCATATTTTGAAAATAGAGTGTGTTAGCTTTCCAACACTCTAACAGAATACCTGCGATTACTGACTTATAAAGAGAGGGTTCATTTTGGCCCAGCTTTTAAAGTTCCAGTCCATGGCAAATTGGTCCCCTTCTTTTGGGCCTCTTATGAGGAAGCACATCAAGGAGGGAGGAAATGGAAGAGCAAAACCGTTCAACTCATGGCCAGGAAGCAGGGGAAAAAGAGGCCAGTGTCCACAGTCCACTGACCTCCCTCTAGGCTCCACCGAATCCCAATAACACTTTCCTGCAGGCCAAACCTTTCACACACGGGCCTTCAGGGAACATCTGACCAAACCAGAGCACAGTAACGAGAAGCCAGATTAAACAGGAGACCCGCAGGAGGAATCGAGTCAGGTTCCGAAGCACACAGGAAGGATTCCGCCTGAGCAGCAGAAGTATGCAATGCCGTTTGCCGAGATGAGGGAGGTGTGGAAAGCAGGATTTTGTTTCAGCCGTGCTATGTTTGAGATCCCTATTGAATACCCGGCTGGAAACACACATCAGCCTTTTGCACACATAAATGGAAGCAGGGGGAGTCTCGGACTAAAGACAGAGAGGATCAAGGGTCTACTGAAGACACCTGAATAACTCAAATTCTAGAAATGGACAAGTTCACCTAGCGAGAAAGTACGGAAAAAACAGGTGGGAGTGGTACGAGGCAGAATCATGGGTTATTCAGAGGTCTGGTAGGAAAGTTCATGAGAACGAAGCTGGGTGCAGGGTGAGCAGGCAGCTACTCGGGGAGGCTGAAGCAGGAGTCAAGACTCGACACACAGTGAAACCCATCCCCAAAAAATGAACAAGATAGAATGAAAGCTACTAGGAAGCATGATGTCATAAAAGTCCAAAGAAGAAAGTGCTTTTGAAGAGGAATTACGTCAAATACCACAAGTTCAAGAACAACCTAGGGATAAATATTTACACTATTAATAAAACAGGACAATACTTCCTATTTTTCATTTTCCATTCTCAATTTCCAGTATTAGATTACTCTGCCTGATCCCAAATCATCTAGCTATGGCCCTTTTTACCAAGTAACAGGAAAACTCACTACAGAAGGAAAGTGGATAGGAAAATTCTATGTGGCTATTCGCCAATAAAGTGGCGATTCCATGTGGCCTGCCCCGTTATGAACATGGTTCTAGCTTCTAAGATGGTAGATGGTGTCCACACTATCCAATCTGTGACCGTTTTTCCAGAGAGGTGGGAGGCTACATTCATGTTCTCACCAGTTGTAAGAAAGGTCCCCATTTCAGACACCCGTGTGGAGGAGCAGCAGAAACACACCTGGAGAGGAAGAAGCCACCAACTGACGGCCACCTGGAAGTGACCACATCCAGAACAAGCAGGGAATACTGGGAGACTGCCATTCAGGACTCCACGCCCAAAGCCCAAGACGGCTGCAAGCAGCCTGCCACCTGTGGATGACTTGGCCGTGTGAGGACAGGCTCAGAGGTGG